AGAGAGAGAGAGAGAGAGAGAGAGAGAGAGAGAGAGAGAGAGAGAGAGATTTTTACCAGCTAGACATACTGCCGGGGCCCACTTCTTGGTCCAGGAAAACATAATAATATAATCAACAGTAGCTGCATCAGGCTGGCTGGATGATTGTAAGGAAAGTACTTGGAAACTAAGCATCCTAAATGGACTAGCATTCTCAAAAGAGTTCATTGCTAGTTCTTTCTGAATATTGTTATGCTATGTCATAAAGTAACGTACCGAGCTCGTTGACAACAACAGTTGTTAAGTTTTTCTAGGTGCATTTTATTGTTTTAAAAGTGTAGCGACGGCGTGCAGTTGTGCTTTTATAACCATGCAGGACTACCGTGCAAATGACCATGGTTGGATTTCTCGACGAGGAGCTTTTGAGCATGGTTGATTGGTAGGGTCTAGATGTTGTCTACCCACCACGCTTGATCCTATCGGAGACGGACGTTAAATCAGGACCCCCCGCCCTACTTATCCCTAGCCCTACTTAAATAACCACTGAGTGTTGAAAAGGGTGTTAAACTCTTGTCACACGTCGATTTCCGTGTCTATCTTACAGAGAGTCTGTCTTTCTTTTGGAACACTGTATTCTGCCCAGCCCAGACAGGGTCACAGTAACCTGTCTGCAAATTTATCCACGATGTTGCATCAAAGAGGGCGTAACACTTGATATATTCCATGACATTCAAAGCGCTACTAAGGCCGTATCGAACGTCAACTTTACGTCAAGGCTTTATTTTTTCTCTTTTTATTCTCGATGTAAGAGTGTGAGTAGTGTGATGAAATCTAGTATCATACATATCTAAGTTATTTTTACACGACGGTCTGTAGCACAGTTAGCCGTGATCAATCGGTAATTGAAAATTCATGCAATCGATAACAGTTGTTGACCCTCTAATTACATCACCTCACGCCCTCGTTATCGCAACTCTCGTAGCACTGACACGCCCCGTGTAATGAGGAATCCGGATAATGGAACACAGCAACCGCGCTAAACGGACCGATGTAGTATATAATAAACATATCATAAGAAGTAGAAAACTAGAGAGCCAGAAAAGGGGGAGCTGGGATGCGTTAGTGTCAACAGTGAGAGGCAGCAATGATAGAAAAAAGTAGTACTTGGTCCATGTTGATTGCAGATGTCTTAGATGTTTGATGATGTATGTATGTTAAAGTAAGGAGAGCAAATGAAACCAGTAACATCTGAATTTTTCCCTGCTAAGAGTGATCTTGGTGTTAAGTTGATTTTCAAGATACAACCTCTGTTCAATCTTTATGAAGGTCAAAGCGCCATGCATTCTTTCAGAGGGGAGGCTCGTGCAACTTTATCAGAACTCTTCTGCTCAGCCAGTTCATTCAGATTTACCATCTTTCTCACAAGGGCCATACAATTTTTTGCACCATCTTAGGCACATACAGCCATCTTTTAAAGTAAAAAAACCACCTTAACCCCTTATAATGCTGCCACTTTTCAAATTTTCGTGAGCACATAATGATTTCTATTTTGAGGGTGAGAATGTTTCAGTTTCACCTATCAATATACTAAAGAAATGCGAGTATCAATTGTTTTATGTCATTATTTTGTTCATAAACTAATGTTTGAGCTTTACACATGAATAGTTGTTTCGTTGTAACCCTGGATACAGAGGTCGTTCTCTTATAGATGAGAAAGGTCAAGATAAGGGACAGGGAAACAGAAATAACACAAGAACGAGCATGTTTGATGGCAGTAGACTATGTTTCCACCGGTATACCCATTCCCTTTCCCACACAACCTCTTCAATAACTCATATATTCTACTTCCCCCCGAAAGGGATTCAGTCATGATGATTCATTACAACAACGCACATAAGTATCAGGGAATGTACGAATACAAACACAAACGCCCTAAACAGGACATAAAGCAAAGCATGTCAAGTTATTTATAACTCTTTCAAATGAAGTTCGTCGTAATATTGATCACACCCGGTTTGCACGCAAGCGGCTTAATACGAATTCCTTGCACTATACGCTATGAATGTCAAAATTTTAATGGCATAAAGAGTGGCTTTATGCTAAGGGGAGAATTCTCAACGGGTAGCTAATCTTTTCCCCTAGCGTTACAACAACATAATGGCATGACGAGTGAGGACACGAGGTGACTTTGGGCTTAAAATATGCATGCACCGCAGCTCCGACAAAAATTGAGAAAGTCCTATTGCACAGGCTACGATCAATGGCGGAGAATCGGGCGTAGATTAGATACGTGAAAAGACTACAATTTCTATCCTCTGTGGCTTGAAATACTCCACTATAGGATCGACAAAACGAATGTAACAACTCGTTCTTCTTCGACGTCGCTTTTCCTCCTTCTACCCCCTCTCCCTTCTTCTTCTTCTTCTTCTTTTTCTTCTTTTTCTTCTTCTTCTTCTTCTTCTTCTTCTTCTTCTTCTTCTTCTTCTTCTTCTTCTTCTTCTTCTTCT